CTGCTGATTAATCATAAAAAGTCTGATGTGTGACACGACTTCCTTGTACGGAATATTAAATTATACGCATTTTTTCTTGAATTTCATTTAAACTTATTGGATTGAATTAAATCTACTTCGTCGATAGCGCATAAACCACAACAGAATAAATGCACTCTTTAAAATTCACTATATTTGTTTACCATAACGACACTCTGGCGCTAGGTTCACTTAACAGCGTTATATTTCGTTCATATTATAACTCAGAATGCACAAAATTTATATCATTCGAAGAATTATCTAATCTTTGCTACATGTTCTATTCAAATACTATAATAAATCTAGAACGATGTATAAAAGAAATTAAGCAAACAAAACAAAAAAAGAAACAGTTTTTCACAGACGATATAATATTTCTCATTCAATTAATTCAGTTCTCACTTCGCGACAAGGCAAAAATACATAAAAACTCAAAATATCTATATTAAAAATTATGAAGTAAATCTTAAACACTTATTTGCCCGAAAACATTTCAGATAGGATTAAGCATGATTTAATTCGCAATAATGAGTGAAGGCGTTATTTTTATTGTTGCGAAGCTTAGTTTCTCTAGATTGGCAACAAATCCTCTATTTTGTCAAGTTTGCAATGTAAACAAACATGTCCGCCATCGCAGATTCGCGGCTGCACTTAAACAACTTTTAAATAGTTGATAACTCCACAAATATTGCATGCAGATTTGCTAAAGGCATAAAAACCTTAACCGGAAGATAAGAAGAACATAAATCAATTATTCATTTTTAAAGCAAAAAAATGCCCAATTTACAAACATATAAGAATAAAGAAACTGAGATCAGTGAGCCGAGTAACAGAGTATATATATATATCCACTTTGTATATAAATATATATAGAGTGTATATATTTGTGCGGCCGATTGCAACCAAAATACGAGGTGCATATCTACATGTTATAGTAGTCCCTATGTACAAAACTTCGACTTTCTGAGGCTACTCTCTTTTGAGTTATGCGAGATACGTACGTACGCACAGACGCCACGAAAAATTCTCTTAAGAATCAATTTTAAATCAGTTTTATAATTTTTTTTTTGGTGGAAAAGAGTCTTTTATTCTGTTCTTACGTACAGATGTCCTGCAATAACATCGTTGTATTGCATTCGATAGTGGTCAAATGGATATTTTTATTGAAATATGCTGCCTGAAACTTTTCGCGATTACAATGCTTCCTTTTTGTTTAACATTTTTTACTCAACAATACATTTTATTTTTATTTAACACGGAAACAGTTATTTTACCTTTTAATTTATAAGCAGAGGAAAATTTCTGGAATATTCAAAAACGGACAGAGAAATATTTATTAACAGAGGAAATTTTCTGTAACATTAAAAAGTTTCTGAAAAATCAATCTATAGTCTCGCGCATTCTGTGGGAAAAGCTGTGTTTTCCTTCCTACTCTCCCATTAGTTTTCAGGACTTGCATAGAAGTAGTAGTCATTACTATCTGTAACCATGGATCACCTGAATAAAAAGATGAATCATGGATGGGAAACTTGTACGAAAAAAAGCGGGGGGGGGACACACTACATATTAATTTTCAATGAATTTTTTATAACCTATATAACCAATATATTCGAATTCAGAATAAAATGACCGTGTTCACGGGTTTCTGAAGATTTATTTTATTGTAGCTATACAGAAATAAATATATACGAGTAATTTCACACTATGTGCAGGTAAATCCATAGCAAAAACTCGAACTTGATAAAAAATGACATTTATAGATTATAAAGGAATCAGTTCTTTGAAAATCTAAGACGATTGGAATGCAGCTTTTAACCGGTTTGGAATCTGTTCATTATTGTATTAAGCGAAAATCCTATTAAACCAGAAGCTGATGCGCTTGCCTGACAACCCTTTTTGGCGAAAATATGATAAGGAAATTTCTAGGAATCTTAAAACTCAAATTGGCTTCATACAAGCTGATCAGAGAGAATCTGATGCTGTGGAGTTAAGTCTAGATTATATAATTTTACCTCCTTCCCATTGTTATACTTTTTGAATTCGAATAAAAATATTGATCTTATTCAAAGAGTTGTTAAAAACGAAATGAGCGATTCACAATTAAGATCTATTGCAATGGAAACTATTGGGGTTCGCCTATCCTCAAAATGAGTGGGTGCATGTCTACACTGACGGCTCATGCTGGAAAAGAAAGCGAGCTTTTCAGTTTCTACTTACCAATGGGCTCTCTTACAATGGGCCTTTTGATGCTGAAATCGAAGCTATTGCTGTGGCTATTCAACAACTGTCGATTTGTAGCTACTCATTTGTAAAGGAAGTCATATTCTTAGATTCCAAAAGTGCACTTCAAACTCTTCTGAGTAATCAAAATAGTTCCCAAAGAATCTTAGATTGTAAGCCGTTGCTCAAGGCAATGGCACACAGGAATTTTTTCCAATGGATTCCAGCCCACTGTGGAATTATGGGAAATGAAAAAGCTGATAGTTTGGCTAAGAAAGGAACGTTCATAATGCAATGCATTAATCGAACGCTTTCATTTTATACGACTAAATTGTTTGTTAACCTGACTCTTAAGAAAATTCTTAAGCAGGATGGGATTCAACGTGCTATGGATAAGAGTTGGAAGATGCTGGGGGAAGAGACAAATTCCATTCCCAGTTTTCCAAGAAATACAGCTTTAGCACTATTTAGACGTCTGACCGGACATGACTGTTTGCGAGACTACCTCTACAGAACTGAAGTGGTGGATTTCCCAAAGTGTATTTTGTGTGACTCCAATCAGCCTATGTGAACATTTAAATAGTTGTATTGCACTTTCTCGGTATGAGAACATTGTTAAAAAGTACTGGAGAGCCCGTAAACTGATAGCTTAAGCGCTAATGTTTAGCATTTATAAAATAAAAATGTAAGACGATCGGTTTCCTAAAGAAGCGGAATCCATGTTTTCCATACACTGCGAAAAATTTTGCAGCAGAATTTGATAAAAGAAAAATTGTAACTACTTATCATCGGCAGGTTAAAGAACAGTTAACAGTTGACAGGAGAAGGAAATGTCATCATTCTACCAAGAGGTTATGTGGTATTGTCTCGCGTCTCCTCATACCTAGCATTAGGAGATCACATAGCACTATATCACATAGAACTTTAAGAGATTGTAGCCGTTGTAGCTCAGAACATAATTACATAATTTTCATAATTATTATATTATTTCAGATACTCAAATTACTTTTCAGCAGAACATGTTTTACAATAGTATACATTTACAGAAATTTACAAACTTATATTGCGCGATATCCAAACACAGTAGCAGTAAAAATAGTTAAACTTCTAGAAACAAATTAAATGAATATTAAATTCCAGTATTATGCAGCATTCTTATTACCCTCTCCTCCATAAAAGAGCTTTAATTGATTTAAGACTTGGATTTCCCACATTAAAACTTATTAGCCACACTGCCCCCAAATTCCGACAGTCCCAAGGAAATAACCAGGAGATTAAATTCGCACATTCAAACGATCTCTACTCAACTGTCATAGAAAGAATGATTACATATGCTGCTCCAGGCTGGGCCCAGCCGATGCAAGCGAGGAAAGTAAAATAGCTTCTCAGCTTCCAGCGCCCATTTACGCTAAACAACAACTACATCGGTTAACGTCCTGGCAAATCTAATTAAACCGCATATTCGTGTTGTGCAAGAAGCAGTAATTCAGTCAATATTTCATCTTCGTACTAATAAAATCTTCTTCTATGAGTGGCATTATCCGAACAATTATGAAATGCCAGAGACGAAGCTACATGTCCACTTAGCAGTTAAAGGCTAAAGGACAGAGTAATTTAGATAAGTATTTTCTAATTCTTAGCTCCTTAGAGTTGAAGCACAAAATTATGAAAAATGCACAATGCTCACAAATTAAAACTTTAAAGATCAGATTTTGCTCTTCTAAGTAAAGTTTGACTACATTAATGAATGAATTTTCAAAATAGTCAATAACGAGGACTTTGTTGCCTACGCTTTTCTATTCCACTTCCACACAACTGGCATTTGCTCAAAATGTTTTACTTGCAATGCACAAGGAATTTTAGATCAATGAGTGCGCAAAGGATTGCACGAAGTCGCCTGATCATTTCCATAAAAAAGCAAAAGGAGTCTATCTTTAAAAGCTTAAAACATGGGGCTACGTTTTGCGTCTTCGTGATGTAGGTTCGTTGTTCCATTCATTTTTAAAATAGCCACATCTCATCCATATTGAAAACCTGCTGCGGAGTGTACTTCAGACACAGCGTGTACTGCGGCTTGGCTACTTTGTTTCGCTGATTAAGCTTGCTATTTTATGGCCGTGCATATTGATTGCCGGTTTGTCTACGTCGGTAGTAGGGTTAAGGTTAACATCTAACTTGCGTTAATTATCTCTGTGCAGCTCCCGTAGATTCTTTAACTTAGTTTTAGTTTTACAACTCTATTTTGAGGTGTAACCAAAAGTATTGACTAAGTTTGTAAGCACCCAGGAGTTCCATCTGTAAATATTTTATTGAGTTGAATAAGGGTCTTTTCACATCTTATCATTGATATAGTGTAATTAAGCGAATAGTCCCTTCACAGTTCAAGTAAAGATCTAGCCAGCAAATTAAAGTTGGTTTAGTTAGAATCTTACAAAATAAACACGTACAATATGCAAGAAAATTGATTATCCGCGTTTTTCGAATTATCCGTGACCAGCTTCCCCGACATTAGCCCAGATAATCGAGAGCACATTGTAATAGTGAGAGCCTCTGGTTAAAGATTAACCTCTGTTTTAGCTAAACTTTACTTAATAAATTCTCATTCGTTAGGAAACATGATGCATTTCTGAAATTAATACATTTACCATATTTTTAAATTATTTATTTCTTATGTTAAGTAATTTAGTACTTGATAAGTCATCGAAATTGGTAATACCATTCCCAAATATTAATTAACAAAAATTAAAAATAAATTACTTTACCCTGCCATGTGGAATCACAACATTGAGTGGTTTGATGCAAAGGATAATTTCGTTTTCAGAAGCAGACATATTCAATTCTATCAGTAAAACCAGAATTACAAGTTAAATAAGTAAATTACAAGTTAAGAATGTAAATAAAATTCAGCTCTTTCTAAAACAATGAGAAATTTTAAATATTTAAGGAAATAGCAAAATAGTTTCTTAAAAAAATCTAGTGCATTAATAAAAGAGGAGACTAAAGCTATCAATTCTCTATCAATAACAATTTTTGTCTGTTTTACAAAATAATTAGCAGTTCATTCCCTCTCATAAATCAGGAAATTGGTTAATTAACTGTAATCCCCTATACTCCAAGTTATCTAAATAAGATGGACCTTTATGAAGGACATTTTGAATAAAAATGTCTCTTATTAGAAGAGAAACATGCCTGTAAAAAGAGCAACCTTATATTGGCTTTCATTCTGGATCAAGTTATAAAGATTTAGAGGGTAGTCTGGCACAAGTTTCTTATTATCAGGAGCAAAAGTATTTTTTCAAAAATTTTCAGTCACTTAAATGCAATATCGTAAGAACTTATATATAATCGTAAGTCCCAATGAAAAGAATAGTAACAAATAATACCATTAATGAAAAAATTATTAAAATTTTGTCATTAATTTATTTTAATATATTAGTAAAATAAATTAATTACAAGTATGAACACTTTAATTAATTCTTTTTGATTCTACATAATTAATTATTCACATATCTAGCTGTTTTCATACTTACCTACAGCTGTTAAACGACCATTGGAAATTAAAAAATCTCGACCTGTAAAATATTTCTTTTTTAAGACTGCTTTTCAATTAATAACAACAATATTTTACGAACAGATACTATAAACGAAATCTACATAGAAATAATAAAACTAATCGAATAAAAATATAATTATTGTAGAAAAGTTTTTCCTTATCTGAAATATCTGAATTGCATCTCTTTTTTTTTTTTTTTTTTTTTTGATAATTAAAAACAAGCGAACTCTTCCTCGGCAATCGCTTCCTTAGACGCCCATCTCTAAAAATTATCAGTTTTTCTGAGGACACAAATAAACATTGACACTGATAAGTATTATAACATTCTGTAAGATGACCGCTTTCTAGTCCAGCGAGATCTTAAAATGCGTAATAAGGCGATCATAGTATGCATAATATTTTGCTCAAAAACTGATGTACTTTGTGTACTACATGATTCAAAGAACTTCATTTTCAATTGTGACAATAAATGATTAACGATACAGATAAACGAGTCCATACTCAAGTGTTTCATTTTATGTTCCGAAAGGAACCAAGTATAAATCGTGTTCCCAGGAGAACTGCTGGATATATTAGACATAATATCACAAATACCGGCATACCTATGGCTGTTAAAGAGGTTGATGCTGCCAAGCTCCGAGTATGTCCCAATCATTGCTGCACTCGGAATTGCAAAACACAAAATTCCCAAAGCTAAAGCCAATAACTGGTTCTTTTTCCACAATACTCAAGCAAAATCCGCCCATATGCAAAGAACTGTGAAACCATGCCAGAACTGACGCCCCCAGCTCACTACCCAACAGAGTGATACCTACCAAGAAATCCTTGAAAGAGAGTCGAACTACCAATACTTAGCGGTTTTACGGCTCTGCCGTTGGTGAGCCTGTGGTAGTGATACTCCTTGTTTTTAATTATTTTTCTCCTTAGTACCGAGAGACTAAAATCATGGAGACATTTCCATATCAGTTTCTATTTCTGGCAAATAGTTTAGCAGCATGGAGTTTTTTCTCATGTGTAGAGTGAATCTGAACAATTTTCTCCTAAAAGGCCTATACTATAAACTGGCTTATACTCGTGAAAGGCTTTTTATCTCAAAAAAGGTCTATACTGTGAAAAAAGCTGTGAATAGCTTCTTCTCCGTAGAGGAATCCCTCCTTTGGCAAGCTCTGTAGCGTTTTATTAAGTATCTAACGTGCCTTAGATAAAATTTTAATTGGGGTCTCATTTAAATAAAGTTGCCTCTAATAAAATTTTAATTTTTTTTAATAATGGAGAACATAAACTGTAATATTATTATAGTAAAAAAAAAAAAAAAAAAAACCTGAAGGATTTCAAATTTTATATCATGCTCAAAAGGACTTTTTTTTTTTTTTTTTTTATTTTTTATTTTTAACGTTTTAGTGATGCCTTTATTTATTAAATATCAAGTTTTTCGCACTTAAACCATAAAATTCACTTCAACAGCAATATTACAAAATAATTTAAAAACTTATCTTTATAATTTCCAATACACAGTCTCGCGCACTGGAGATAATTTTGTTTTTCGTACAGTGTTGCCATTGCTCGGTTTGAAATCGTCGAGTTTGTTAAACAAAACTTCGTTAAAGTTTTACAAAATATGAAATGGATAATAAAACTAATTCCAAATTTGGACTTCCAAATGCCCATATTTGAGTGGAGCACTATGTTATTCAAAATTTTTTGTCTCTGGGTGCTGTTGTTTTTTCACAGTGCGAGAAACATACATACATGATTGCAGATTCTTTAATATTTAATTGCTTTCAATATAATATAGGGCTCTAATATTTGGTGGAAACAATCTAAAAAGTGAAACGGTGTTTATACTGAACCAATGGTAAATGCTAAAATGAAATGTATTGCTTATTAGCAAACTGCCAATAATGAATCATCTTTTAAAAAAACTAGATTTTTTTAACTCCCGATTTTCATTTCAGAAAATTGAGCAATAATATCCACGAATTCTATCCTTTCGAAACTATTTGTATCTATAACAAACTTTTTTACGAAGTTTAGTCTTTCCTAGCTTACAGAATAAATATATAGAAAGATCTATTGCATCTATTCCAAGCGTGGTTAAGTAAATTATTAGTAATATTTCAGTAATAAGAAACAGAAATATAATGTGGTAGGTTTGTTTTATGAATTATTTGTATTTTGTTCGGGCTTCGCAAATTTTATTTTCTTGCCATTAAAATAAACTATGTGAGGTCGTCCCGTAGTTCTTGAACATCAGTGTCAATGAAGTAAATCTTTTTTTTTTTTTTTTTTTTTTTCATTTCACTTGTATAATCTGATACATTCTGTAGACGCTCAAGTTTTATTAAAATACTTAACATCTTTTGTAAATTTCTTGATATTCTTTTGTATTTCATAGCAATTGTGTGTCAAATTTTGTCCCAAATAACATAGAAGGCATTTATTTTAAAATCTGCTTATTCACTTTGCAGGGATTTATATTTATTTCGAAATAACCAATTAAGTTTAATTTTACGCTTTCCTATATTCCTTCACTGCCCTAATTGTCAATGCCAGCATATTTAAATTTAGTAGCACGCGTGAAGTAATGCAGTTTCTACCTTGAGAAAAGGTTTAAATGCCGAATTCTAGAAGGGAAAAGTTAGAGAGTGTGGTCAAGCGCTGTATCTTTGTAGCGTGAGCTTCTGATTCTGCATTTATTTATTGCTGGCATAACAGCTGTTACTCGGCTGCCACGAGGCTTCGACATGGTCTTAGGTAACAGTATTACTTGAGCCCTGTAGATAAATTCTACTGTTTGTTAATATCTTCGAATTTTAATTTAGTTCTTGTGAGTTGAGTTACCGCCCGAGTGAGGCGTAGTTTGTTAGTATCAAGTCGACGCATTGTGAATTTTAAATAGTTTTAATAAAAGGTTCTTTTTTCCCTTTTCCTGTATGGTTCCTACACGTACTCCACCTGTCATAGCTAAGGATACACACGTAGGTATTATAATACAAATGTATACATTTGGCGCCCAAATTTCTACTCGAATCCGATGGCCAACGATCAGGACGGACAATCATCTCCACAAGACTCAGAAGTCGCAGGTCCGATGATGATCAGCCCTTTGTATGGATTTGGTGTTCTAGTACAAACAATGAGAGCTTCCATCAAGCCAGCAGTGATGTTCGACCGCAAGAACTCCATCACCTCATTCTTGGAAGCACTTGATAATCACTATCCTGTACCCAAGAGACAGAAAGTAGCAATTGCATTGAGTGCCCTCCGAGGACAGACGGAGTCATGGTGGAAAGGAATTGGAAAATTCTTACTTGGAGAAGTCGGACGCCTCACCTACAATTAAAAAAAAAAATAATTAAAACGGCCTTCTTAAAGGACTTCCCGATAGTTAAAGACCGAGCAAAATTAGAAGCCGAACTTTACGGCTCCTACCAGCGAAAAATTGAGGATCTCACAGAGTTTATTTTACGTAAAGTTAGTAAATATGCTATACGGAAGGAACCCGGATATTGAAGTCATTGAAATTATATTACCAAGGTTGTTACCCGGAGTAAAGATTTCATGGAGCTGAGAAACCCACAAACGCTTCGAGAATTATTCCAATTAGTCGTGAAATTTCAGAACCGATGGATAGCAGAAAACTCCAGATTTTCTACCCAGCGATATCATCAGCAGTTCTCCCGACAACCGGTCGCAGAAAAAAGTAAATTCAACGGAGGAAGACGTTGAATCGTCAACGAGTAAGCCAAACCGTCAACCGTCAACAGCCAAATCGTCAACGAGTAAGAACGAAAGCGATAATGCGCAAAAAAATGTTCGATAAAGACCGCCAGCGTACCCAAAAGAAATTAGAAGGAAATAAAAATTATTTAAACAAATAGACGGGTCTGAGAAATTGAATTTACAGACCCAGTGCGCATCACAAAATTCCTCTAAGGTGCATTTAAGTATAGTTGTGGTGAGAAATTCGCAATTACTTGTAATACAAGTTCTTCTTAACAACGTACCCGTAGAGGCACACATGGACACCGGCCCACAAGGAAATTCCTTAAAACAGAGCTTCTATTACCGGAATTTTCGAAAAGTAAGGATATTTTAAAAACAGTAGTACGGAAATAGCCGCACAAGGGAAAGTCTGTGAATGCGTTGAGAAGCTATCGCTTAACGTAGAGGTTAAAGATGAATTTTTGAAAGTTTTTTGTTAATGTGGTTAAAAATTTACAAAATAAAGTTTTTTTAGGTAAGGAGTTCCTTAGAGCCGCTAATGCAAAAATAAATTTTGCTGACAACTGCATTATCCTCCAGCATTTAAAGCAAAATGAATGGAAGAACTTGTAAGTAAATTTTTCACATTATTTTCTGAAAATCTTGGAAATACACAAATAGTCACACATACTATTGAATTAAAATAAAGCTAACCATATAAAGCGAAACCTTATCGATATGATAAGGAAAAAGAGGATAGAACTCCATATACAGCAGATGTTAAAAACAAGATAACAACCTCCATCAATAGTGAATAAGCTAGCCCAATTGTGCTATAAAGAAAGAGAAGTAATTTTCCCTCCTCGTATCGAAAAGCTTGGCGTTTTGCCATTGATTACAGGAAATTAAATGACATAACTACATTTCCTGTCTGCCCTTTACCGGTAATAGAAGAAATAATAAGGAAAATTAGGTCTATGAAAGTTATGACCCCTCTTGATCTTACTTCAGGCTACTTTCAAATAGCCATGAAACCAGAAGACGTGAATAAAACGGCGTTTATTTCAAAATCGGGCAATATGCATATTTACCTATGCCGTTTGGACTTTGCGGCGGCCCGTTAACTTTCCAACGCACTGTGGATATTATTTTACGTCCTGTCCTTAAGTCCATAATAAGCATAGACATTATCGAATTTAGTGAGGAAAACGTTTCGTAGGGTACTCGAGGCGGTATATTTTCTGCAACTACAGAAGGTAGTGACAGCATATGTCAGAATTGAATTTTAGATGACATCATCATTACCATCGACACCATTGAGGAATATGTCAAAAATCTCCCCGAAGTTTTTTCATAATTAAAGGAAGCAAGGTTAACTGTTAATTCATCAAAATGAGAGTTCGCAACTAAAGAACTGAGATATCTTGGTTGCAAATTTTCAGCTAAGGGTATCGAGACTGAGGATTCTAAAATAAAAGCAATAAAAAATTACCCTCCGTCAAATAACGGCAAAGAAACTTTCATCCGTTCTTGGCATGTGTTTGTACTACCGTTCTTTCATCCAAAATTTGGCCAATATCGTTGAACATTTGTCAGTGTTAAAAGGAAAGAAATCAAAGTTTGCGTGAACAGCGGAGACAAACACGGCTTTTGAACAATTAAAACCAGCTCTAATTAATGCCCCAGTGTTAAAATTCCCGGAAGGGGACGAGAACTTTGAAATCGAGGCTGATGCATCAGATTCAGTGCAGTTTTAATGCAAAAACGGCATCCCTTTGCATTTTTTAGTAAAACATTAAATCCTGCGCAGTGAAATAACACAGCTACCGAACGGGAAACGTTAGCCGTGTTAATAGCAGTTCAGAAATTTAGTTTATTTTGGGAAAACACCGGTTACTGTCTATTCAGACCATGCGGCCGTAGGTAGACTATATTCTGAGAAGAATTTAACTCCAACTTTAATTAGATGGGCCTTAAAGTTACAAGAGTACAATTTAATTATTAGGTCTATTCCCGGCAAAGAAAACACTGTGGCCGACTTGTTATCAAGAATTAAACTGGATGAAAATGGTGATCAAATAAAATGCGTTATGTTAACTTCTAAAGTTTTAGTTTCCAGGGCAACAATCATTTCTGAGTTGCTAACGAATCCAGAATTCGATAATGTCTATGCTTATTTAAAGGATCCAGATAATTTTGAACATGCAAACCTTGCTGCAATTAGAAATAGGGTCCAAAACTACAAGATTGCAGATAATCTGCTGTTCTATACTAAATCGACAAATGAAAACCATGAATTTAGGACAGTCATCCCAGCCACACTACGGCTAAGTATTTTTCAGGAATTGCATGACGCAGCAACGGCTGTCCATTTAGGAGTGAGGAAAACGTTTCTTAGGGTACTCGAGGCGGTGTATTTTCTGCAACTACAGAAGGTAGTGACAGCATATGTCAGAATTGTAATTTATATCAGTTAATTAGCGACGTTAATTATATATATATAGATAGATAGATATATGGATATCTAAATAGTATTCGGGAGATTTTTTCTAACGAAATTCTTGGAATAGTCCTTCTTGGCCCTTTTCCCCAAAGTGAGTTAAATAAAAACCCGATATCTTTTGGCGACTGCTGATCATTTTTCTAAATGGATAGGAATAATTTCCTTAAAGCGAGCATCGGCTAAAATAGTCACAGTTGCGTTTTTACATAAATATATCTTAAAATACGATGCACCGTTAAAAATAATAAGTGATAATGGTAAACAGTTTTTTAGACAAATTTTTGAAAACTTATGTAAAGGGCTTGATATACGGCATATGAAAATGGTCCCATACAGACCACAGGCAATTATCTCAGAAAGAGCTAACACATTAAAGGCCGGGAATCTTGACGAAATAACGCGGCGACCGCTTCGCCTCGTTTTTCGTCCTAGAGCGGGCGATATTTTGTGTAATCATAAAAATTTAGACTTAAAAAAGTTTATTTAAACTCTTAAAACTACAGAAAATATTAAAAAAGAGCTAAACACTAATTACAAAAAATGTTTTAAAGTACATATTTATGAGAAGAATCTAGTATTTTTATGAGTGTGATAATGTTGATAACACTCGCCACGGTGAAGAGGTGCATTGCAAAACTCGCATTTGAAGCAAGTCAACTTTCTTTTTTTATGGTGCCGCACAAACTACGCAGTTTCGTTGGGCATATAGCTTTTTGCCTCTATTTTCTATCCGAATTAATCTGTGCTTTTTGATGTCTAGATAAAGACGTCCAGGCCCATCAATTTTATATCGTGGAGTCCGTGGTGTCGAGTTCGATATACCAGATTGTGGCTCTTCAATGTCCATTAAATCGTCTGCATATATATCTTTATTTTCACGTGAAACCATATTGAAGGATTTCAAAATTTACTGTAAGTAGAATTTGAACAACCGAACAGCTTCAAACCACAAAACATACTAAATACAAAAGTAAAGTGGCGCATGGATTGCGCGATGTGGTTGCAAACCACACTGAGCAATCTATGCGCTAGCTACAGTCGAGATTAAATGCGCAAGCTACAGTCGAGATAAATCGTATTACTACGACTCCCGCCTTTAAGCTACAGTCGAGATAAATCGTATTACTACGACTCCCGCCTTTAAGCTACAGTCGAGATAAATCGTAGTACTACGACTCTCGCCTTTAAGCCACAGTTGAGATAAATCGTAGAACTACGACGCCCGCCTTTAAGCTACACCCGAGATAAATCGTAGTACTACGACTCCCGCCTTTAAGTTACAGTCGAGATAAATCGCAGTACTACGACTCCCGCCTTTAATGTGCTAATAAAAACATTGTTAAAATAATTAGAAGTTATGTAAAAAAATATAAGCACTGAGATGGTTGTATATATAAACTAGCCTATGCTTTAAGAACTGTCGAGCAATGATGCGAAGGGTGAAACGCTCGCTGAACTATTTCTGGGTAAGAAGATTTTAAGACCGTTGGATAAACTCTTATTCGTCCAAGAAACGGAAGCCAGAATTCAAAATTTAAATTTATTTATGGTGTTATTAATTAGAAGACATACGGAAGGAAAAATTGTCTTACTGTCTCTTACGTTTACTTTAAGTTTCGAACTTTATATTGTTAGAGGTAACCGAATAAAGATATTATATAGCTCTTTTAATAGGAGAGTACCTTAATATCATTAGGAGTTTGTAAAGACAATGTAGAATAAAAATCAGTCGTTAATATACTTTTATCATCTGGTATCATAATATTTTAACATTTTACAAATCTAGATACCTTATGTGATCATTATCACATAGAAATTTAGATCCCCATCATTTGATTATTACTAGATTCAGTTTCTAACTTCGTAGTATAAAATCCATAATAAAAATTACTTTATCAAAATTGTTTTAAAATTTTAGAAGTCTTATGATTTAACTGAAAGTCAAATTTAATTTTCACCTTGAACTAAAAGGTTATTTACTACATTCCAAGATGGAGCCATTTTTGCCATCGCTGTATACTGAATGCATGCCTCTAAAACAGAAGTATCAACTTCACGACAGGAGAGGATAAACAAATTCATCTTCTGTATACGTTCTTTAAATTCTGGCATGTTATATCTAATTTTCTAGCAAAAGAAATATTTTTCTCGTTAGTTATCATATAAAAAACCATTAAACATCTGATGTATAAAAATTGTAGATATTAGTAAATATGGCATGCAATATAAAATAACTTATATAGCTTATTATAAAATAACTTTTATAAAATATAAAACTACTGATATATTTACCCCCCCCCCAAAAAAAAAACATAAAAGTAAGGATGCTTATGTACTATTTTTTACTTTAAAACTTATCTGAAGCTCTTATAAATACAATAATAGTGCGAAATTGGAAAAACAGATTAGTAATTTACCATAAATAATAAGATCAATATTATAGAAACAAAATTAGCAATTGTTAAAACTTTAAAACCAAATATATTATTGTTTGCTTACGGGTTCGTAACGGATTGAGTCACTCATAACCGATAACAACTGGATAAAATTTATTTTACCAAAAGAAACACTTTACAGTTCTGGAATTCTTCACAAAAATACTCGCACAGCTCTTCTCAGTGTCACAAAGTACAATTGGTACATTTTAAACTACTAAGAACGTTATAGGTATTGTAGTGCAAAGCGCATCTAAAAGGCGAAGGTCTCACGGATATCTCTGAATACTTCGAACTCAACGCTGAATTAAAGAATTGAGCACTGATGATCTCTCTGGGTTTATATAGCTTTTCCCTGGCCGAGAAAGCTCTAGTAGCTTCCATTTCTCGATATTATTGGAAGGCGATAAAAGTTACATATAACGGCCGGATACGGTTACATTTACATATATGGATCGACTGCAGTTGTTAAATTACAATATAATTGCCAGAAGTCGCCAAAATCCTCACCAACTTCGCAGTATCTGGCCAATTAACGACTAAACCATTTACCTCAATATTAAACATATTTGCCCCTCTGTAATCATATTTTTCCAGTAGAACTTCATCACTTCAGACTTTTTATGTTACATTATATAAAAGATACCACAAATTCAGTAAAACTATTTACATACATATAAAATTCGTAATTTATAAAACTCGAATCTTTGTCAAAGAATCATTTAATTACGAACTACTAGTATAATATATATATCTTTTTCTTGTTTTAGGGCACTTACATGAAATTTAATCAAAATTAAATACATTTTGTAATCACATAGAATTATTTACTTTCTTTGATGGTCATCTCTTTTAATGAACTTATACTTCAAGTTATCTTTTATTTGACAAAATTAAGTCTGTGTTCAATAAAAGACAAGGAAAAATCTAAAACAAATTTTATTTTTGAGAAGTGAGCCGCTGAATGATAATATCCTCTAAATTGATAAAAAAATCCTGGAAAGGAAATATAAAAAAAGTTAAAAATTTTCTCACTCTGAAGTTTAACTTCTTGACAACGTAGCAATCAATCCTTAAAATCAACCAATATTTTTGGTCGATTTTTAGGAGAACAAAAATAGAATGAATGATTGAACAATCAATAATTTTTTTAATGATTGTGAAAAGGCGTATCGCTAAAGGCAGATCTGACAAAATTTCGAATTTAAAATTTGAAAACACTTTTACAAATTAGTTGATCAGAGTTATTTACAATAATTCCTCCCATTTCATAAGATATACTGTTGTATCATAAATTATAATACGACATTTAGCTTAAGAGAGCTTCTCCTGACGCATGCGCCGTTCGCGTTTATCCGCGCGGTGAATGATGACGTAACTGTTTATTACGTATACCATTCTTACTTCTTCGCCTTTTTTTTTCTCTGCTGTACGCAACTATGTTTAAGTTAATCTCTGTCATTAAAAATGTTCATTGATATTACAATCTATTTAGGCTCATTTATTTCTTCAATGGTTATGGGCCCAGGAGCGTTTCAACTGTGCTTAATTAGCAAAATACCTATTTTAAAACGAACATTTTGAAGTTTTCGAGCATTGAACTCTTAAGCCTAATTCAGTGCAAGAACTGTTACGTCTAATCAACGGTAAGAACTGATCAGCGTTCAGTTAAGCCTGCTGTGAGAGACTGTATTACATTATGTCGCATTTGACTACTATAGAAAAGCTCGGAAAAGATAATTTTGACAGTTGGAAATTACAAATAGAAGCAGTATTGATTTAAAAACGACCATTGGATTATGTAAACCGGATAAAGCGCTAAAACCTGCTGAAGGAACCGAGGACGAAAAGAAATGGCTCCAAGCTGATCAAAAAGCTCGTGCAGATATAATTCTTGCTATTAATCCTAGTAAACTGTGTCATATAAAGCATTGTGTGACATCGAATGCTGTGTGGAATAAACTCAAAGCCGTATATGAATCAAAAGGACCTGCGAAGAAGGTTACATTATTAAAACAGCTTTTATTTAGAAAAATGGTGGAAAGCGAAACGATGTCTGAACATTTGAATAATTTCTTCGAACTAGTTGATAAGCTTAAACAAATGGAAATTGACATAGCTAATGATTTATTATCGATTCTTCTGCTCTATAGTATTCCAGAAAATTTTGAAAATTTTAGATGCGCCATCGAATCAAGAGATCAGTTACCTAGTCCCGAATCTTTGAAAATCAAAATGTTAGAAGAATGGGAACCAAGAAAAGGGAAAACGTCTCAAGATTCACAGAATGCATACTATACTGATTATAAAAGACGAAATCAAGAACAGAAGAAAAATGAAAAATGGAAGGTAAATTCAAGCAAAAATTTTCCAGCTGAAAGAAATTTTCGAAACTTGAAATGTAATTACTGTTCGAAAATTGGGCACAAGGCATCTGAATGCAGAAAGAAAATAGCTGATAGAAAATATGCGCAATCAAATAAGGGAAATCAAGGTTCTATGATGGCTTCTAATTATGAAGAGCAGATTAGTTTAGCTGTAAACAATGCTTATCAGAAGACCTCCTCATGGTGCTTAGATAGTGGCTGTACATCTCACATGTGCAATGACAGAAGGTTATTTTCAGAATTTCACCCTCGAACGAATTCAACCATAAAGTTAGCAGTTGACAAAACAGCAAAAATTACAGGAATTGGAACTGTCCTTATAACAGTACCTAACGGAAATAAGACAATTAAACTTACGCTCAAAAATGTGTTATGTGTTCCGGAATTAAAAGTGTAATTTGCTGTCAACATCTAAAGCTACTGCAAATAATCGTTCAGTGATTTTACAGAACGACATGCTAGAATAATAGAACCAAATGGATCTATACTAGTGCAGGCTATTCGTCATGGTGATCTTTATTATATACATCCAAGCACTGAAACAGCTGCAATAGCACAGGTAAGTGAATTTTGTAAAGTGGCATCTTAAATTAGGTCATTTAAATGAGTCTGATTTGAAAAGACTTAAGTCTGATAACATGGTTATAAATTTAAATTTTAATAACACTGAATCTCTAAAAGACTGCAAAGTCTGTATCCGAGGTAAACAAACTGTGCAACTTTAGCTTTTCAAAAAGAATCAAAATTTCAAAGTGATGAATTACTGAACTTGATTCACTCAGATTTGTGTGGACCTATGAGAGTCCCATCCCATGCTGGTTCGCGTTATTTTGTTACTTTCATAGACGACAAATCGCGTTATGTCGAAGTCAGTTTTCTTAAAACTAAAGATGAAGTGAAAAATGCATTCATTAAATACAAAGCTGCGTCGTCGAAAATCGTCTAGGAAAGAAAATAAAAATCCTTCGGACTGATAACGGTCTCGAATATCGCGGAGAAGAATTTAATAAATATATTCAAGAATGCGGGATTAAACGAGACTTCTTTGCACCAATGACTCCTCAACAGAATTCGAGAGCTGAACGCATGAACCGCACTTTAACTGAAATGGCCAGATGTTTGTTACTACAAAGTAATCTTCCCCAATCCTTTTGGGCTGAAGCCTTGAATCGTTGCCCGAATCGAAGCCTGGGAGTAAACAAAACACCTCATGAGTTATTTTTTGGCATCAATCCAACTGTATCTCACTTCAAAGTATTCGGACAGAAATGTTTTGTACTTAATAAAAGGTCTAAAGGGAAATTCGATCCTCGATCAGAAGAACATATATTTGTAGGATACTCAAATGAATCGAAAGCATACAGGCTGTGGAATAAAAATTCCAGAAAAATCGTTATAAGCCGAGATGTTAGATTCATTGATGAATTTGAAAACTGTACTAATTATAATAAAGATTTAGAAGTTTTATTTCTCGAAAATATTCCTGATAAAAAGAAGGAAGAACCTCTGAATGTAAAGCAAATATCGGCTGATGAAATAACAGAAGACCCCTCAAATATGGCAGAAGCATCTGCTGAATCACCTGATAATGAAGATTCTGATTCCGAAGCACTACCTGAAATGCAGATTAAAAGGGGGGGCAGGTCGTCCAAAGAAAGTCAAGACTGGGAAGCCAGGAAGACCAAAAAAGGAATACCACAATATAAACATGGAGAAAGCACAAATTGCTGAAGAAGACACAAATTCGACATTAGAAGAAGCATTAAATGGAAGTTATGCTGAAGAATGGCATAAGGCTATGCAAAGTGAGTATGAAGCACTTGTTAAAAATGGTGCATGGAAATTAGTAAAGCGACCACACAACAAAAAGGTAATAGGATGTCACTGGGTTCTTAGAACGAAATATAATGCAGATGGAACAGTTCAAAAGAGAAAAGCTCGATTGGTTGCTAGAGGATTTGCACAGGAACCTGGAATTGATTTTAATGAAACCTTTGCTCCAGTAGCCAGAGCAAGTTCTATAAGAACTGTGATTGCATACAGTGCTGAACAAGACCTTATGTTATATCAACTAGATTTTGTTATGGCTTATGTTAACGGAGATTTAAAAGAAGAAATTTTCATGGAACAAGCTAAAGGTTTTGAAGACCAAAATAATCCTGATTATGTTTATGCTTTGCAAAAGTCTCTTTATGGTTTGAAACAAAGTGGACGACAGTGGTATGAAAAATTAGACAAAAAACTCAAAAACTTTGGATTACAACCATTACAATCAGATAAGTGTGTATACAGGATGAAAAAATCT